CTCAACAGCCTCTGCTGTCCTCATTGGCTGAGAGCAGCGGGAGCCCATTGACTCTATGGGGTTTATTTACTAAAGCTGGAGAGTCCAAAATCAGACTCCCTTCTGCATAGAAACCAATCAGCTTCTAACCTCAGCTTGTTCAATGAAGCTTTGGCAATGAAACCTGGAAGCTGATTGGTTTCTATGCAGAAGGGAGTCTGATTTTGGACTCTCCAGCTTTAGTAAATAAACCCCTATGTGTCTTATGGACGCAGCACTGCCCCCAGGGATATAATATCTTTGTTATCTTAAGTAAATTAAAAATAATAATATATGTATAATAACAGCCAATAATTGAAATGGAAAATTGCTGTTTTCCACAAGGCATATACAGGTAAGGCAGCGGCACTGCTTAAACATTGTAAGCAACCCATTATCACGTACAAATGCATATATTATTATTATTATTATTACAGTACAAACCCTAAAACAACTGAGTTTACTGTTTTTCAGAGATTTATTCTGATTATTTTTCATAAATTCAGTTTTACTTACAGTGGATTTCTGGGACAAAACTATCTAATTTTAAAACTGCTCCCACCCCTCCCTCTAACACCTATACTAACTACCTTGTAGAAGAAGGATGCAAATACTTAGCTATTCTCACATGATCTCCTCTGTGTCAGTCAGCAGCCAGCTACATGGGAGAGGAGCGAACACTCAGCAAACGGCTGGAATGCCTGAGTGGTGACGTCACCCATAGGGTTACTATGTGCCATCCATTTTCGGTGTGCCCTGCTCTCTTCTGAAGTTGGTGCTAGCTGACAGATGGGAGACAATCACATGACCGGACTGGATCAGCCTGAGAACAGGTAAGTATATGCATCTTTCTTCCTCATTTTTAAGATTAGATAGTTTAATTCCGCTTTAAAGTATAACTAAAAGGCAAAACCTTTTTTTCTATAGGGTGGAGAGGAATAAGAACCCCTGCCAGGTTTTTGATGCTATCTTTACCCCCCTACCCCATTAGGGATATCCACCCTCTCCATTTGTCCTGTTTACTGGTATTACCGAGAGCCAAAGTAGGATAAAATCCAAAATTTTAGGTTGCCACCAGAATAGGAATAGAGGGGAAATCTTTTAACTGGGATACTACTTCTGGTGACCCTAGTGACAGCTAAGGATTTCCTTACATTGAAGGGATTTTCCTCTGACTTCCTGTTTTGGTTTGAGGACAGGAAGTAAACTTAAATCTCCCTAATGAGATATAGATCACAAAAAAAAATTTTTGCCTTTAGTTCTACTTTAAAATCAATTTGTTTTGCCCTAAAGCAGACTATCCCCCCAAGTTGGCTATGAATGCAGCCCAACAAAAAATTTGTAAATTTACTTCAAAATGCTGATTATTTTGGATCTTTTGTGATGCTGTCTGTACCCCCCTACCCCATTAGGGAGATCCACCCTATCTATTTGTACTAGTATTACTGAGAGCCAAAGTAGGATAAAATCCAAAATTTTAGGTTGCCACCAGAACAGGAATAGAGGGGAAATCTTTTAACTGGGATACTACTTCTAGTGACCCTAGCGTCAGACAGGGATTCCTTACATTGAAGTGATTTTCCTCTCACTTCTTGTTTTGGTTGGAGGACAGGAAGTAAACTTAAATCTCCCTAATGAGATATAGATAGCAAAAATACCAAAGATTTACCTTTTAGTTCTACTTTAAAGTCAATTTGTTTTGCCCTAAAGCAGACTGTCCCCCCAAGTTGGCTATGAATGCAGCCCAACAAAAATTTGTAAACTTACTTTAAAATGCTGATTATTTTGGATCTTTTTTGTAAAAATGCATTTACACTTAGCAAACACCTGTGGCCAAAGAAAAATTTGACAGTGTCTCTTTGCTGGACGTTTATAAGTTTTATCTTCCCAAAGAAAAATATCCCATTCTTTACAATAACGTCTTAATCATGTCATCAGTTTTCCGCAGCACCTATATTTGTTAGCAACTATTATCAAGGATGAAGCACATGAAGGGCAAAAATTAGAACCAAAATATCTGATGAACACCTTGAGCATTTATTGAGATTTGATACTACATCCAGTGAGCCAAAAATTGATGTGTTAGTTTATCAAAAACAGTGTCAAATATCTCAATAGTTTTATGTTGCCCACTTTTACTTTTAGAATAGTTAACATTACAAAAAATTAAGTTTTATTACTCAGATAGATACAATACTTATATCGGTGATCGTTAGCTTGTGATCTGCTTGAGTGTTTATTCTCATGAGCTATCCTTATTGTCAGTGTATTTTATGCGTGGCCCAAGACAATTCCTCTTCTTCCAATATGGTCCGGGAAAGTCAAAAGGTTGGACACCCCTGGCCTAAAGTATTTCCAAGGTAAAAACTGGGCAAGGACTTGGTCTTCAAATCTCATTGGAATCCCTTAGATCGCAAGTCAGTACTGTAGATAGGGTCTCAGATTCTGCCCAAGTCAGGTTAACACTGTCTATTACAAAAATAAACCTGCCTACTCTCATTCAACTGTTTACGATCTGAAATTCAACTGTTTGTGGCATCATTGGATATATCACTGGCCTGACCCAAGTGAGGGTCCTCTGGTCTGGCAATTGGCCACTTAAACCCAAGCACTGTCACATGTTCCTCTATACCTGTGTAGGCTTCTTTTTGTGAGGTTATGAGAAATGGCCACCCCAAACAGGATATTGTATTAAACCTGTAGGTAAATAAGAGAATCAGTACCTTCCCTAAGTGGAATAATGGGTTTGATAATAAATTTGGCAGTGCCTTCACCAAGGACAGGGCCTCTGTGAACAGAGGGTATTCCCTGTCTAGGAAATTTACCAGTAATTGGGATTAAAGGAACTACTGCAGCCAGCATATATAAGTATAAGATATATAGTATATAGATTCACAACAGCATGGGAAGAATATAAACTATATATAATGAAAGGTTATTAATAGTATATATACATCCAATGTAAAAACAGGTTGTTTCAACAAAGCCCAACAGGAGTCCTGGTGGAATTGTGCATATACAGTCAGGTCCATAAATATTGGGACATCGCTACAATTCTAACATTTTTGGCTCTATACACCACCACAATGGATTTGAAATGAAACGAACAAGATGTGCTTTAACTGCAGACTGTCAGCTTTAATTTGAGGGTATTTACATCCAAATCAGGTGAACGGTGTAGGAATTACAACAGTTTGCATATGTGCCTCCCACTTGTTAAGGGACCAAAAGTAATGGGACAATTGGCTTCTCAGCTGTTCCATGGGCGGATGCTCCCAGCAATCAGAGACTCAACTTTGCAGCCAGCTAACACCTGGAACTGATTATGCTGGGGTATTTAAGGGATGGCCAGACCCACAGACTCTGCCTTGGTGTTGTGTTTGTCCTGGGCCCTGTATCCTGTCCTGCATCTGTCCTGTTCCTGCATCCTGTTTCTGAACCGCTGCTGACTTCTCCTGCTCTGATCCCGGCTCGCTCCTGACCATCCCTCTGCCTGACCCTCTGTACCACGCTGCTTGCTACCTGTTCTGATCCCTGGCTTGTGACCCTGACCATCCCTCTGCCTGACCCTCTGTACTACGCTGCTTGCTACCTGCTGAACCTGGCCTGTGACCCCGACCAATCTCCGCTTGCTCCCCCTGTACCTACCTGCCCTATTGATATTGACCCGGCCTGCCTGACGACGCTTGCTTGTATGTACTGTTATCTGTGGGTGGTTGGTTTGGTTTGGTTTGGTTGCACTGTATTATGTTTTAGTATTGCACTGCGTTTATGTTTGTATTGTTAGTGTTAATAAATTATATTGTTTATAACATATCTGAGGTCTGCGTTTCCCTGCGTCAGCCACACACCTCTGGTCACACCTGGGAGCCCTGACATTACACCAAGGCCAATCCTGACCAGAAGTGGCTGCACAGGGAAGCCATCTTGGCTTGTTGCTGGGAAGGATGGATCTGGATGAGGTTGTGTATTTATATCTGCTAGTGTTTGATGACAGGGAGTATGCTTATCAAACTCTGAAGGAGTATCCCAGGGATCAACTACTAGAATGTATACGGCGGCTCGCTCATGTTCTAGTAGATCAGGGCACAGAGTTCTCTGAGGTGCAGCCTTTGATTGAGGTTTGTGCTGAGTTGGTTTCATCTGGTTCCCCCGAATGCAGGGATGAATTTTTGCCACCATTTAGTGCAGACCAGGTAGAGTCCCTGGTGTGGTTATTAGAGGATGATGTGGGTTACTTTCTGGAGCGTTATTCCACATGTTCACCACAGACACTAAGAGATTGTATAAACGCAGTGCAGTCATTGACCAGACAGGCTTTGTGTAAGCTCAGCTTTGTTCAACCCATACTGCAGACATGGACAGACTTGTTGCACCCAGCCTCAGTCAGCTTACAAAAACCCAGTCCTGCTTCTAACTCTACTCCTGTATTCCCACCAGCTCCTCCAGTTACAGCCCAGTATACTTGGCTATCTACCGCATGTCAGTACCCTGTTCCCACTCGCTGCACCTATCCTGCCTTTAACCCTGTAAAAAAGCCCTCTGTAGCAACTGCTCCCTCTCCTGTTCCATCCTCCAGTTTTTCTCTGTCTCCAGCTGCTCCATTCGTTTGCAGACCTGCGTTTACTTGCAGTGCTCCAGTAGTTAAAACCAGAAAAAAGCGAAAATTCTTTCCAACCAATACCATCCTGCCAGTATCCAAACCGGTGAACCTGCCTTCCGTGACTCAGCCTGAAGCCTCTACTCAGCCTGAAGCCTCTACTCAGCCTGAGCCTGCCTCTCTCAGCCTGATGCCTCTCTTCAGCCTGATGCCTCTCTCAGCCTGATGCCTCTCTTCAGCCTGATGCCTCTCTTCAGCCTGATGCCTCTCTTCAGCCTGATGCCTCTCTTCAGCCTGATGCCTCTCTTCAGCCTGATGCCTCTCAGCCTGATGCCTCTCTTCAGCCTGATGCCTGAAGCCTCCTCTACTCAGCAGAAGCCTGATGCCTGATGCCTGCATTCAGCCTGATGCCGCTACTCAGCATGATGAACTGATCCAGCCCGACGATCCTATTAGGCCAGTTGACTCGATGCCCGCTGTTGATCCAGATGATCCGGTACCTGATCCAGTGCCCGCTGTCGTGCCAATTGACTCAGAGCCCGCTGTCATACCTGGTGACCCGGTGCCCACTGCCTTGCCAGATGACGCGGTGCCCGCTGGCAAGCCAAATGACCTGATGCCTGGTGACCCAGTGCCCGCTGTCATACCTGGTGACCCGATGCCCGCTGTCGAGCCAGACAATCCGATACCTGATGACCCGGTGCCCACTGTCGTGCCTGTTGACTCGGAGCCCACTGTCTTGCCAGACGACTCGGTGCCCGCTGTTCTTGCCAGACGACTCGGTGCCCGCAGTCTTGCCAGTTCTCGGTGCCCGCAGTCTTGCCAGACGACTCGGTGCCCGCAGTCTTGCCAGACGACTCGGTGCCCGCAGTCTTGCCAGACGACTCGGTGCCCGCAGTCTTGCCAGACGACTCGGCCCGCAGTGCCCGCAGTCCGCCAGACGACTCGGTGCCCGCAGTCCGCCAGTTGACTCGATGCCCGCAGTCTTGCCAGTTGACTCGGTGCCCGCAGTCTTGCCAGACGACTCGGTCGGTGCCCGCAGTCTTGCCAGACGACTCGGTGCCCGCAGTTCCGCCAGTTGACTCGGTGCCCGCAGTCTTGCCAGACGACTCGGTGCCCGCAGTCTTGCCAGACGACTCGGTGCCCGCAGTCTTGCCAGACGACTCGGTGCCCGCAGTCTTGCCAGTTGACTCGGTGCCCGCTGCCAGTCTCCCCGCCAGTTTGACTCGGTGCCCGCAGTCTTGCCAGACGACTCGGTGCCCGCAGTCTTGCCAGACGACTCGGTGCCCGCAGTCTTGCCAGACGACTCGGTGCCCGCAGTCTTGCCAGACGACTCGGTGCCCGCAGTCCCGCCAGTTGACTCGATGCCCGCAGTCTTGCCAGACGACTCGGTGCCCGCAGTCTTGCCAGACGACTCGGTGCCCGCAGTCTTGCCAGACGACTCGGTGCCCGCAGTCTTGCCAGACGACTCGGTGCCCGCAGTCTTGCCAGACGACTCGGTGCCCGCAGTCCGCCAGACGACTCGGTGCCCGCTCGTTCCGCCAGTTGACTCGGTGCCCGCAGCCAGTCCCGCCCGCAGTCTTGCGACGACTCGGTGCCCGCAGTCTTGCCAGACGACTCGGTGCCCGCAGTCTTGCCAGACGACTCGGTGCCCGCAGTCTTGCCAGTTGACTCGGTGCCCGCAGTCCGCCAGACGACTCGGTGCCCGCAGTCTTGCCAGACGACTCGGTGCCCGCAGTCTTGCCAGACGACTCGGTGCCCGCAGTCTTGCCAGACGACTCGGTGCCCGCCCGTCTTCCCCAGACGACTCGGTGCCCGCTGCAGTCCGCCAGACGACTCGGTGCCCGCCAGTCTCCGCCAGACGACTCGGTGCCCGCCTGTCCGCCAGACGACTCGGTGCCCGCCGTCTTGCCAGACGACTCGGTGCCCGCAGTCTTGCCAGACTCGGGCCCTCGGTGCCCCTGCCGCCAGACGACTCGGGTGCCCGCAGTCCGCCAGACCGCCCGCAGTCGGTCGCCCGCAGTCTTGCCAGACGACCGGTGCCCGCAGCCTGGAGTGGGGGCCCGAGACCCGCCCCGCCTGGGGGTCCCGCCAGACCTGTGCCCGCAGTCCGCCTGCCAGTCCCGATCCCGCTGTTCCGCCCTCGGTGCCCGGTGTCTTGCCGAGCCCAGAGTCCTGGGTGCCCGCCGCTGGGGCCCGACCGTCCTGGTGCCGGGGCCCGCCCTGCTCCGCCTCTGGGGGCCCGGCGCCCTGTCGCTCCGCCTGAGGGCCCGAGACCTGTCGCTCCATCTGGGGGTCCGGCGCCCGCCGCCCGCTCCGCCTGAGGGCCCGAGACCTGTCGCTCCATCTGGGGGCCTGTCGCGCCCGCCTGGGGGTCCCGCCCCGCCCCCGCCTGAGGGCCCGAGACCTGTCGCTCCATCTGGGGGTCCGGCGCCCGCCGCTCCGCCTGAGGGCCCGAGACCTGTCGCCCCGCCTGGGGGGGCCCCGCCTGCCGCCCCGCCCGGGGGCCCGAGGCCTGTCGCCCCGCCCGGGGGCCCGGGCCTGTCGCCCCGCCCGGGGGCCCGAGGCCTGTCGCCCCCCCGGGGGCCCGGTGCCCGCCCCCGCCCGGGGGCCCGCCTGCCGCCCCCCCCGGGGGCCCGGTGCCTGCCGCTGCCCCGCCGCCCGGGGGCCCGCCCTGCTGCTTCCCGGGTAGCCCGATGTGCCTCTGCCCGGAGTCCCCCCGATGTGCCTCTGCCCGGAGTCCCTGCCCGATGTGCCCCCTGCCCGCCCGTCCCCCGCCCGATGTGCCTCTGCCCGGAGTGCCCGATGCTGCCTCGCCCGGAGTCCAGCCCGATGTGCCTCTGCCCGGAGTGCCTCTGCCCGATGCCTGTGCCTCTGCCCGGAGTCCAGCCCGATGTGCCTCTGCCCGGAGTCCTCTGCCCGATGATGTGCCCGGAGTGCCTCTGCCCGGAGTCCTGCCCGAGTGCCCTGCCCGGATGTGCCTCTGCCCGGAGTCCTGCCCGATGTGCCTCTGCCCGGAGTCCAGCCCGATGTGCCTCTGCCCGGAGTCCAGCCCGATGTGCCTCTGCCCGGAGTCCAGCCCGATGTGCCTCTGCCCGGAGTCCAGCCCGATGTGCCTCTGCCCGGAGTCCAGCCCGATGTGCCTCTGCCCGGAGTCCAGCCCGATGTGCCTCTGCCCGGAGTCCAGCCCGGTGTGCCTCTGCCCGGAGTCCAGCCCGATGTGCCTCTGCCCGGTGTGCTCTGCTGCCCGGTGTCCTCTGCCCGGAGTCCAGCCCGATGTGCCTCTGCCCGGTGTACCGCTGCCCGGAGTCCTGCCCGGTGTGCCAGTCTTTGATATCCCGCCAGTTACCAGACCCGGGCGGTGGAACATTTTTCCCAGCTAGGACTGTTTGGAGCGTCCTGAGGCCGCTCCTTGAGGGGGGGGGGGTACTGTCAGGAATGGACTGGCCAGCAATGGTGGGACTCACCTGCCTTTTGATCTGCAGTACCAGGGCTGGCCAGCGGATGCTCCCAGCAATCAGAGACTCAACTTTGCAGCCAGCTAACACCTGGAACTGATTATGCTGGGGTATTTAAGGGATGGCCAGACCCACAGACTCTGCCTTGGTGTTGTGTTTGTCCTGGGCCCTGTATCCTGTTTCTGTCCTGCATCCTGTTTCTGAACCGCTGCTGACTTCTCCTGCTCTGATCCCGGCTCGCTCCTGACCATCCCCTCTGCCTGACCCTCTGTACCACGCTGCTTGCTACCTGTTCTGATCCCTGGCTTGTGACCCTGACCATCCCTCTGCCTGACCCTCTGTACTACGCTGCTTGCTACCTGCTGAACCTGGCCTGTGACCCCGACCAATCTCCGCTTGCTCCCCCTGTACCTACCTGCCCTATTGATATTGACCCGGCCTGCCTGACGACGCTTGCTTGTATGTACTGTTATCTGTGGGTGGTTGGTTTGGTTTGGTTTGCACTGTATTATGTTTTAGTATTGCACTGCGTTTATGTTTGTATTGTTAGTGTTAATAAATTATATTGTTTATAACATATCTGAGGTCTGCGTTTCCCTGCGTCAGCCACACACAAAAAGAAGGAATGCACCAGTGAGCTCAGCAACACCAAAAAACCCGAAAGACCAGGGAAAACAACTGTGGTGGATGACCGAAGAATTATTTCCCTGGTGAAGAAAACACCCTTCACAACAGTTGGACAGATCAAGAACACTC